ACTCAAATCATTGTTAAAATTTCGTTCATCCCTTTTTGACACTATGAGACACGCTTTGTATTTTAATTTTAATTTCAGTATTTTAAAACAAAAATCAAATATCCACTCAATTCTTGTTTTTTTAATACCCGTTTCTAAAATAAAAATCCAATGACCAAAAGATACACTGACCCTTCATCTTAGAATTTTTTTGATCTGCACCAAACAGAAAAAAACATTTAAGTTGTCTAAATTGGTCAAACCTTTCTGTTGCAATTAAAAGGAATCCTGTTTTCAAACGGAGACTCGTGGAAAGAGATGAGACGTTTTTCCCTCTCCACCCTCAGAGACTTTGGGATGGGAAGAAGAGTGGCGGAAGAAACGACCTTGGAGGAGTGTGCCCATTTGATTCAAATGTTTGAAAATCAGAAAGGTAGGAAAGATGTTGTTTCAATGGCTGTAATATTTCTTTGCTTAAATCATCTGCTGTTTTAACAGCAAAACACAAACTTTGTGTTGTACATTATTCTCACTTGTGGTTTTCCAGGAAAACCATTTGACACAGCTCGCCTACTAAATTATGCAACTTCCAACATCATCTCCTCTATTGTGTACGGACGTCGATTTGAATATAATGACCCTCGATTCAGGAACCTGGTGGATCGAGCCAATGAGTCCATACGTATTGCAGGCTCAGCACAAATCCAGGTAAGTTTAGTTAAACACATTAGGATTATTTGCATACTTTTCACTGAACGCACTTCATGGGTTTTTTTTTATATGGACCAGGATCAAATAAAAGTTACTTTATTTACAATAAAGCAGTAAATGAAACACATTTATAAATGCATTTATCAAAGCAATTTTTTAAATTAATTTCTTTATCTTTTTTAAGATCTATAACATGTTTCCCTGGCTGGGCAGATGGATAAAAAACCAACAGGTGATGGTAAAACATGCTGAGATGACAATCAAAGATTTAAAGGGTTTAGTGGATCAGCTGAGAAACACAGTGAACCCTCAGACATGCAGAAGTCTGGTGGACTGTTTTCTGATTCGGAAGCAGAGAGATGAGGTGATACAGTTTCATTTTGTGTTTTGGGAACAAATGCAGCTACGTTACTAGCATACATGTTTTTTTTTTTAATTTAACTTTTAGGATGCTGGTGTTAAAGACACACACTTCCATGAGGAGAACCTGATGTACACAGTGTCCAACCTGTTTTCTGCTGGGACCGACACCACAGCCACGACACTGAGATGGAGTTTGCTGCTAATGGCCAAATACCCACATATCCAAGGTAAAACATGTACCCTCAAGTAAAAAAAAAAGTCCCATCTGCTTCCGAAGATCTCTTGATCTTTTGTATTTAACAAATAAAAGGAAATGTTAAAACGTTTGCTCATTAGAATCGTAATGACCTATGAAGACTACCGATTCAAGAGCAGGAAAAAAGAGCAGAGAAACGTTCTTCAACACAGACTTTGGTTTCCCAGACCAGGTCCAGGAGGAGCTGGACAGAGTGGTCGGAAGCCGTGACATTTGGGCAGAAGATCGTAAAAACCTCCCGTTCACTGATGCTGTGATCCACGAGACGCAGAGACTGGCGAGCATCATTCCCACGTCTATTCCACACAAAACCAGCCGGGATGTCACTTTCCAGGGATACTTTATCAAAAAAGTTGGTATTATTCTCTGTTCGTTTATATTTGACAGCATAAATAAGGCTTTAAATGATAAATCGCCTCTTGTTTCGCCTTCAGGACACGACTGTGTTTCCTCTCCTGACTTCTGTCCTGCACGATGAGAGTGAATGGGAGAACCCTCACACCTTCAACCCTTCTCATTTCTTAGATAAGGAGGGTAAATTTCTCAGGAGAGATGCCTTCCTGCCTTTTTCTGCCGGTATGACAGCTTTAAATTCTTCTTTTGTATATACGAGTTAATTATTCCAACTTGCCCAGACATGGTTGGATTTAAACTCTTGTGATGTTTGTTTGTTCTCGCAGGCCGCAGGGTGTGTCTCGGAGAGGGTTTAGCTAAGATGGAGCTCTTCCTCTTCTTCTCCTCCCTCCTCCAGCGTTTTCGTTTCACCCCTCCGCCCGGAATCTCAGAAGATGAACTGGATTTGACGCCAGCTGTTGGTTTCACCATCCCTCCTTTGCCTCATGAGCTGTGCGCTGTCAGTCGTCAGTGAGGAAGGAAGTGGGCTCTCTGATAGCTTCCACATCCTCAGCTAGTGAGCTGGGAGCATAGGCAGGCACAGATATTAATGCCATCATTTGCCAGCAGCACTGTTATCGCAGATAAGATTAATCATTAGTTGGATTTCTTTTTGTCAAGAGACCTCTACAGATCTCACGTTTTTCTGCCACGCTTTTTTGACATACCTTTGCAGATTATAACTCAGTGTATCGGTGCACAAGTGTATCGGAGACTAGATTAAAGACCAACTCAAGAAGCTCAAATGAAAAGTAAAACATTTAAATATTTCGAATAATACGAAACAAAAGGCTGGAGTGGCAGCAAAAGAGGAGAGGAGAATTGGACAGGGTATGAAGCACAATACCATCCTGCAGGGAAGTGAGTCTGCAGGGGCTGATCAGGAAACAGGAGGTTTAATGGTAATGGGGAACAGGTGTAGGTGAACGGTTGCTTAACGAAAAAGTACTGAAGATGCCTGGAAAACACAGAGAGGCACAAGTAAGAAAGGCAAAGAAAAAAACAGAAACATTAAATAAACAAAACCTTAAAATTTATTTAATGCAGGAAAAAGCAGGGGAAATAATGAACACAAAAGCTAATTTATAATTCTTTATGTAAAACATGAAGAACCCTCAACAGCAATAAAGAACAGTTTTGATTCCTTTCACGTTGGCAATGTGTCGTTTTCAAAAGTGAACACAAAGTTTTAGATTTTCATGCAGTTTCATGCTCCTCATGTTTCTGTTTGAGGTCATTTTCAGTTAAGACAGGTTCGTGTTGAGCAAAAATACTAAAGAATCAAATTCCAAAGTTCAACAACATACCTTAGAGCAGCTAAACTGAAATTCTGAACTATTTGTACTTTTAGTCGTACCTCTAAAAAACAAAACCAGTTTTTCTTTAAGTGCATGCAAAGTTAGGATTGAATTTCTGTTGCCCAGATGGTGTTGAAAAGGGGGAGTGGCTGACTAATCCCAGCTGGGATTGTTCAGTGTTCCTGCTGCCAGTCAAACATCAACAGTTGCTGCCAAACTGACCTCCTGTTTCTGTGGGAGAGTCTCGTCTAACAGAGACAGAACTGTGAAATTCTAGTTGGTTACGTGAGAGGAGTTGGATAATACAATATGTTCCAAAGAATGTCTTCATTCATTAAAAAACGAATAGAAAATATCTTCATGTCATCGTGTCAATGAAAGCATTTACGTCTTTAAAAAAGACTTGTGGCAAAACGTAAAAACCAGTTGAAGGCAAATTTACAACTTTGAAATGGAGTGTGAATCAAACTGTTTTAGGAAAATAATCTTATGTTCCTTTTTCTAACTTTGTTTTTCTATTTAAAAAAAAGAACAAAAAATACTGTATACATCTACTTCTTGTTTCTCAGTTGGATTTATTGACTTTGACATCTTTGACCCTCGAGAGCTGTTGTTGTTCCAAGAAGGGGTTCTCTGCACACTCAGTAGATGTTTCTCAAACGTAAACACTGATTGGCTAGTTGTATTTGCTCTGTTTTTCGAAAAGATTGGTTCTTCTTTTTCGTTTTTCTTTCACTTTTGACCTTAACTACTTTCACATTAATTTTTGCAGTCTAAACTGTTCGAATCAAATCGAAATGTATCATTAAAAACAAACGTTTCTTTCTCCCTATTTCTTATCTAAAAAAAATAAAATAAAAAGAAAGTCAGCTCTTATATTGAAATGTAACCCTGAGTGCGGAAGATTATTGCTGACTTTATTCAAGAGCTTATATTTTCAACGTGAGAACAGGAGTATATGTCTTTGCTCTCAAAACTTTATGTATTTGTTCTCAAAACTTAAAATGCTCACACTCAAAAACTCTGCTCTTTTTCAAATTATTATCTAGCCTATTTTTCAACAGTGGCTCATTTCCAGATATGATGAAAATAGCTAAAGTAATTCCATTATACAAAACTGGGAATAAACATCATTTTACCAATTACAGACCAGTTTCTTTGCTGCCACAATTTTCAAAAAATTTAGAGAAATTATTTAACAACAACTGGAATCATTCTTGGGAGAATATAAATTGATTAGTTAAAGTCAGTACAGCTTCAGGTCAGAACGATCAATTGTATTAGCCATAATGGAATCTATAGAAGAAATTATATCTGCTATTGATAATAAGAAGCTTGTTGCAGGAGTATTTCTAGATATAAAAAAGGCATTTGATACAATAAATCATGATATATTAATAAATAAACTAGAAAAATGTGGGGTTAGAGGGACTATTAAATTGGATAAAAAGTTACTTAAAAATAGAAATAATGTACATATGGAAAATGCTATCTCTGAATGTTTGGATATTGCTTGTGGGGTTCCTCAGGGTTCAGTATTGGGGCCTAAATTATTCATTATACACATAAATGATTTATGTAATATGACAAAAAATATTAAAAATTTTTATTTGCAGATGAAAAGATGACACGAATGTCTTTTTTGTTGGAGATGATATGGAGCAGTTGCTTGGTGATGTGACTGAAACTATGGATAAACTGAAATTATGGTTTGACAGGAATAAGTTGTCCTTAAATCTGACCAAAACAAAAATAATGCTATTTGGGAATAGTAAGTCAAATAAAGATATCAAAATAAAGATATATGGTGTAAACATTGAAAGAGTAAATGATTATGAATTTCTTGGGGTCATTATTGATGATAAAATTACATGGAAACTAGCTACCTTTCGCTTTGATTACTGCTTCACACACTCTTTGTATTCTCTTGATGAGCTTCAAGAGGTCACCTGAAATGATTTTCTCTTCACAGGTGTGCCCTGTCAGGTTTAATAAGTGGGATTTTTTGCCTTATAAATGGGGTTGGGACCATCAGCTGTGTTGTGCAGAAGGTGGATAGAGCACACAGCTGATCGTCCTACTGAATAGACTGTTGTATTATGGCAAGAAAAAAAGCAGCTAAGTGAAGTAAAATGAATAGCTATCATTACTTTGAGAAACACAGCATCTTGCAGCGGCATGCTAGTCCATCTGGTTTGCATTTAGTTGGACCATCATTTATTTTTCAACAGGACAATGACCTCAAACACACCTCCAGGCTGTGTAAGGGCTGTTTGACAAAGAAGGAGAGTGATGGGGTGCTGCGCTAGATGACCTGGCCTCCACAGTCAGTGGACCTGAACCCAATCGATATGGTTTGGGGTGAGCTAGACTCCAGAGTGAAGGCAAAAGGGCCAACAAACATCTCTGGGAACTCCTTCAAGACCGTTGAAAGACTATTTCAGGTGACTACCTCTTGAAGCTCATCAAGAGAATACCCAGAGTGTGTGAAGCAGTAATCAAAGCAAAAGGCAACTACTTTGAAGAACCTAGAATATAAGACATATTTTCAGTTTCACACTTTTTTGTTAAGTATATAATATCACATGTGTTAATTCATAGTTTTGATGCATTCAGTGAATCTACAATTTCATAGTCCTGAAAATAAACAACTTTTTGAATGAGAAGGTGTGTGTGTCCAAACATTTGGTCTGTACTGTTAACTGTCTCAAAAACATCTTGTTTTGCTCTAAGGCAAGCCTTTAGGATAAAAAGTGCCACATTCACTTTCACCACTGTTAAAAACAAAACCAAACACAGTGTTCTGGGTGTCTTTCACTTTGTTTCACAGCGTCCGCATGGAGTTTTTCCACATCATTAAATCAGATAAGTTTTAGAAGTGTCACTTTTTGATCCTTTTGGCTTGCCATACAACTTTAGCTTCAAAAATGTCCTACCGAACCTTTGACTTCATTGGATTCTAGTCAAGTTTTTTCCTGCCTTTTTTACACTTCAAGTGGAAAAACCAGGCAGTCAAGTAGAGATGTGAAGCTGATAATTATTTCGTCAAACGGAGGAGTTAAGAAAAGTTGTCAACTGTGAAAAGACTGAAAGGTAGGACCACATGTAATATATCCTATTATACCTACATAAGATATGACCTATGCCATCTGTGCTTATGTAAGAATCGAGATATGCTATCTTACATAACTCTATAGGTAGAACCATAGCTTCATAAAATACAACTTTCTTCTGTAACCATATGGGTAAAATCTAAACAGCAGCTCAGTCTAAAACTTTGTGTCACACAGAGGAACATGTTGGAGGATATTCTTCAGTCCCCCACTTCAGTCTCCCTGTTTGGGGTCTTTGTTGCTCTGCTGCTCCTCCACATTCTTCACTCCAGCTTCAGTTCCCAAAAACGACCAGAACCTCCAGGACCCAGACCCCTTCCTCTGTTTGGTAACCTGTTCCAGCTGGATTTGAAGAGACTCGACCAAAGTCTTTATGATGTGAGTAATCTTTGGCATTATATAAATTCTATATCATACAGACAGTAAACTGATCACATTAAGCTGCATCATATTTTTTAGCTGTCCAAAACATGTGGATCAGTTTTCCAAGTCTACTTTGGACCAAAGAAGGTGTTGGTTCTGGCAGGTTACAGGACCGTCAAAGAAGCTCTGATAAACCAGGCGGATGAGTTTGGAAACAGAGAAGTCACTCCTATTTTCTATGATATGAACCAGGGACATGGTAAAAACATGTTTACACAAAGTAATTACAGTACTATGAACAGGTCCTTGTTGAAACAAACTTATTCTGTCTCCAGGTATTCTGTTTACCAACGGAGACTCGTGGAAAGAAATGAGGCGTTTCACTCTGACAACACTCAAAGATTTTGGGATGGGCAGGAAGATGAGTGAACAGATCATTACTGAGGAATGTGGCTATCTGATTAATGAACTGAAACAATATGAAGGTGACTTTTAAAGCACGTGGCTTGCTATATGTTTATTTATATTATGTAAAAATATAAATATTAGTGTGACTAAATTGTGCTAAAGCTAAAATGTATATTAAAAAATGATAATACAGATTAATTTTTAAACTACACTTCATAAAAAAAGTTTCAACACTCTTGCTGTCTTGCTTTCCGAGTATTAAACATTCAATCCAAGATTTTTCCTCATTGTGCCACAGGTAAACCCTTCAACAACACCCAGGCCATCAGTTATGCTGTTTCAAATGTGATATCAGCTCTAATGTTTGGAAAGAGATTTGAATACAAGGACCCGGCCTTCCAGATGATGGTGGCCAGAGACAACGAGACTATTCATCTGACTGGATCAGTTTCTGTCCAGGTACAGCGGAAATATTCAATCAATGCGTTGAAATTTTCTTTTCTGACTTCTGCTTATCAAATATTTGAACCACCCCCCAAAAAACTCCATACGTTAAGTCAGTCAGTTTTTATTTCTTTTTTCATATGACACGAGGAAATACAGAACATCCATTGAAACTTTTTAAAACATAATTATGACTAGAGAATTTCCATTTCCTGCCAAAATGTAGAGTGAATGCTTAATGGTGAAAGATTTTTTGCTGAAAGCTGTTGAAATCCAGCTGAAAAGGTTTAATAGTAAAACTGATATTGTGAGTAAAATATGAACATCTGACTTTTGCTGAAAGTAGGAGAAAAAGTGTAAGTCAGTAGAAAGAGAGCAAAAAAAGGCGAAAAAATCTGAAAATAGCAGAAAAGTATAAAATTAGCAAAAAGAAGCTGAAAGTAGGCTAGATTAAACATGCAAAGGAAAATTTTCAGTTGAGCAAAAAACAAAAAAAAAGTTTTGTAAAGCATTTTGTTTTAAAATAGCTACATAAAGCTGAAACTAGTCTAAAATAGCTAAACAAAATGTAACTGAAATAGCTGAGATTAGCAGAGAAACAGAAAGAGCACTTTTGCTGAACTAAGCAGTAAGAAGCTGAAATCACCAAATGGCGAATTTAGCTAAAAAAGCTCAAATGAGCTGAAATTAGATATTAAGTTGCTAAAACAGAAAACATTTGAAAATAGCAGAAAGCAGCTGAAAGAAGCATAAAAAGCTTAAATTAGCAGAAGAATAACAGAAACAGTCAGAATAAAAGAAGCAAAAAGAGAAAACAGAACCAAAAAAATGAAAGAAAATGTTAAAACTGACTTGATAAAATAAGAGTAAAACATTTTAAAGGGTTTCAAGGATGTTTTTTCTCATTTTCAATGAAGGAAAAAAAAACTGCCTGGAAAAGCTAAACATCTCAAAAGTATAAATTGTCGAAATATCAAAAGTCACAGCGGGGATGTCCTGAAGGGAGCTGAATGCTCTGATAAATAAGTTGTTGAAATAGCACAAAAACTGTTGGATGAGATACGTGCAGACAAACGTGCAGAAAAAAATTGTGAATAGTGTGAATATTTTCACACAATTACAAACAAACTGGGTCTTAATGTTGCCGTAACGTTCAGCTCAATGTTGTCTGGTTGGAAAAATTAATCTCATTTGAAAAAAAAGTTATTGTTTTAAAACAAAATCTTGTTTCTTACAATGAATTTTTATTTAGCTTATTATTCACCCTGATTACCTGTTTTATGATTTGAGTTTGTAGACAGAGTTGGTGTTTTTGAAGAATGAGTGTTGTTTTTTTTTAAAAAGATCACTGTTTTTCAGGTTATCTAGTTATACAATGATTAATAAACAAATAAAACGAGCAAACAAGGAACTGAAATATTCTTTATGGAGATTTTATCAAGTCAAAATTAGCATAATTTGTTTTGTTTGAACTAATTTGTGATATGATTGAAGATTTACAACTTTATGCCTTGGCTGGGGCCTTTCATTAAAAACCGGAGGGACATTATCAAAAATATGGAAGACACAAAGGCAGATGTAGGGAAGGTAATAGAAGAGCTGAAGGAAACTTTGGACCCCGAGGTGTGCAGATGTCTTGTTGACGCATTTCTGATCCACAAGAAACACCTGGAGGTGAGCAGTTCAACAAGTCATTTTGCGTGATGTTATAGTTGATCAACACATTTATTTTTTTCCCCTTTTTTCTCTCATACAAGGATTCTGAAATCAGGAATTCCTACTACCACGATGATAACCTGCTGTACATTGTGACAAATCTGTTCGGAGCTGGAACTGACACTACAGCCACGACTCTGAAGTGGAGTCTTCTTTACATGGCCAAGTTTCCTCATATTCAAGGTCAGAGGAGTTTCTTGAGCCTGTTTCTAGTTGCAGTTTTCAAATATGTAGTTGTTTTTAATGTCTCATCCAGCTCGTGTTCAGGAGGAGCTGAGCAGGGTGGTTGGAAGCCGGCAGGTTCAAGCGGAGGACAGGAAGAACCTGCCATACACTGATGCTGTGATCCATGAAACACAGAGACATGCTAACATCGCCCCCTTGGCCATTCCTCACACAACGAGCAGCGACGTCACCTTTCAGGGTTATTTCATCAAAGAAGTCAGCAGCTCCCATTGTCCCAGTTTGTCACAAATACAGTTTATTCAAAATCTATAAACTTTATTGGAAATAAGAAATAATCTAAGAATTAAAAGTAAGATTTGTCGTTCCTGCAGGGAACAACAGTGTTTCCTCTCTTCACGTCTGTCCTGTATGATGAGAGTGAATGGGAGAGCCCTCACACTTTCAACCCTTCTCATTTCCTGGATGATCAGGGTAAATTCATCAGGAGAGACGCCTTCATGCCCTTTTCTGCAGGTGAGCTGATGAATTTAGTTATGTTTTAGACATATCAGACTGTTAATGTTTGTCCGAGCAAGATCCCAGTTCAACTTCTGCACGTTGTCCTGCAGGCCGAAGGGCTTGTCCCGGAGAGAGTCTGGCCAAAATGGAGCTCTTCCTCTTCTTCTCCTCTCTTCTTCAGCGTTTTCGTTTCACTCCTCCTCCTGGAGTTTCACCAGATGAACTGGATTTAACACCAGTTGTAGGTTTTACTCTCACTCCTGAACCTCAAGAACTATTTGTTGTTCTTCTGCAGTGAGACAAACTTTCATTTTTTTTGTTTAGAATATGGCAAAAATGAAAGAACGTTTGTGGTGTTTTACTGTTATCTGAGTAAATGGGTTATGCTAAGAAATAATCCTGGTAAAAGAGCATGTGTATTGAGAACAAAATAATTCTAAATATAATAGTTTTTATGGATTACTCAAATAGTAGAAGAATCATGAAGAAGTTATTTTCTTCCTCTTTGTTGCTTTATCATATTCCTCATAGTTGTTACCTTTTCCAAATGTAGATATTTTCGTATAGGACAAATAAAAAAACAGAAATGTAGGCATTTATGGATACTTCAATTATTGCCAAGTATTTACAAATGGTTTAAAATAGAGATAGGTAGTTTCCAGTTTGGAGTCAAAACTTCCAGCTATAATTTGAGAAGATTTTCCTGTATTATTTGCAGAAATATGAATCATGTTTTAAAGATGGAACGGTTTATCTCTCAGTTTTTATTTGTCAGAGATATCAAGTCGAGAGAAAAATCACAGAGTTAAATGGAGCTTGTAAAATTGTTCACATATAATTAGAGAAAAAAAGTGAGGTTTTCTTTGTGGAAACGAGAAAATCAATGTGTTTCAAAAGTTATCCCTCATGCATAATCTTTAATGTCACTTAAATTGATTTTTGTTTCTTATTTTAAAGCGTGTGTTTTTTTGCCTGTTGACTTTATGGACAGTTCACTGCTCCCCAGAGAACACTTGTATTTATTTCTCTTTATTTTTATTGTATTTTTTTATCTTAGCAAAACCACATACAGTACCTTGTAATTATCATATAACCTTTTTAATTAATAAAAGCTTAATTTCAAGCGCTTGAATCAGATAACATGACTGCAGTCCGTTAATTTTACTCGTGCTGCATTTCTGCCACAGAGGAAAAAGTGTGACGTACTCGACTGTTTTGTGTTTATTGAAACAAATGTGTTCAGATTTAAAAAATTGTAAAATAAATAATAAATCAAATACCTGTTTTAGACTGCCGGTTGACAGCATAAAGAGGCTAATTCTAATTCCTGCATTCGCTGCTCTTTTGACTCTTCTTTATAAAATTATTGTGTAAATGTTTTGTTTTTGTGTGTGTGTGAATATTGCTGTCCCTATAACTGTATTAGATAAAGCTTAGTTTCTATAACAAAACCATAACGTAACTGTATTGTGGCACTTGGGGGCACTGTAGCGCAAGATAAAAATCATGTTCTCTTCAAGAGAAGAAACCGTTGGAGGGCAGAGGTTAAACAGTAACTTCAGTGAGTGAAAAATCAAACCCACAACTTATCTAGATTTGGAACGTCAGCAAAGGAAAACCTACTGCAAAGAAAGGTTTAAAAGAAAACCAAACTTTGTCACGGGACTCTATCTCGTGTCAAAGGGCAGACTCCTTTAATCAGAAAGAAAAGGTGACAGTTAAAAACTGCTGCTGTCCTTGAAACATTACAGCAAAAGCAGATTAATATATCCTACAATAGAATAAAACTCAATTTGAATGTAGTAAATGGAGACATTAGCAGATGAGAGCCAGAGTGCAAGCCCTGTGGCAAATGTCTACAAATTTTTAATGAGACAAAATAATAACTTGAACTTATATAGCAACCCACTGGTTACAGGACTCTCCTAACCATATTTTTGAGCAATTCAGTCACTTTAAAATATTCTTTATTATTTTACTGACATGTTAGACCTTCATTGATTTAAACTGTTCCTCCAGCTGTACAGTATCGTTTTAATCCCACTAACTTCAGTCTTTTGTTGAAGTGGTCTGAAATGTTATGGGATGTGTTGCTTCCATAAAACTCAACATTTTTTTAATGTTCCAAAAACTGCTTTGCTCTTTTATTGTCTTGTTTTACAACTGTTCTGCACCTTTTGGCTTTTAGATAACCTTTTGTTGCTTTTCGGATTTTGTTAGTCTAACATCTCTAAAAAGCTCTCAAGAATGCAGAGAAATCTCTCTCTACAAAGAACAAGGTCTGAACTTTTATTTGGTTGCCTTTGAATTTTAAGTCCTCGGATAGCACTGCACTAAATAAAAATGTTTTTTTTCTTTTAGCTGTTTCCTACCTCAAGGTCATCCCAACAAGCAAATTTGCACCATTAAAAAATGACAATTGTTTTACACCAGATGCCTTTCCTGAGAGAACCTGGACCAGAAACTGATGCTCAGGATGACAAGACCACAGCACTGACACATACAAATTTTCTTTGGCAAATGTTTAATTTAAAAATGAACAGCCAAAGCAAATATTTAAGTAAAAGCCAGTGTTTTAGGTAAGATGCTGTCATAAAACAAGGAGCCAATTAAATAAAATACCTGCATGAATAATAAACATGTAAACTGTCAGCAAATTATTTGTCAGAAAAAACTAATACAAAAGCCTCTACAAAGTAAAACAGGAAGTAAAACTGACCAACACAGAAAAAAAAAGAAAAATACACAGATTTAATGAAATCACAACAGGTGCTCTTTTTCCCATATTACTTCAGATCTAATTTGAAGAAATATTGAGAAGCTTATATGGTTTTTCATCATAATGAAACATTGTTTTGAAAGAAAAAAGAACTTCCTGTTTTTGCTCATGACGGAATGTAACTTTAGGACAAAAGGTTTGTGACTCAGAGGACTCAGCAGAAGCTCACAGGTGATGACAGGAACATGTTGGAGGATATTCTTCAGTCCCCCACTTCAGTCTCCCTGTTTGGGGTCTTTGTTGCTCTGCTGCTCCTCCACCTTCTTCACTCCAGCTTCAGTTCCCAAAAACGACCAGAACCTCCAGGACCCAGACCCCTTCCTCTGTTTGGTAACCTGTTCCAGCTGGATCTGAAGAGACTCGACCAAAGTCTTTATGATGTGAGTAATCTACTGTTTGTCATGAAACTGTTCTACAGACAGATTTAACAGTTTTGTAAAGCGTGAGTTTCACAATAACTGATTTATATATTTTTAGCTTTCCAAAAAATATGGACCAGTTTTTCAAGTCTACCTTGGCCCGAAGAAAATAGTGGTTCTGGCTGGTTACAAGATGGTCAAACAGGCTCTGGTGATCCAAGCAGATGCATTTAAAAACATAGAAATCACTCCAATTTTCTACGATTACACCCAGGGACATGGTATATATACAGTTGTGGTCAAAAGTTTACATACACTTGTAAAAAAACATAATGTTATGGCTGTCTTGAGTTTTCAATAAGTTCTACAACTCTTATTTTTCTGTGATAGAGTGATCGGAACACATACATGTTTGTCACAAAAAACAGTCATAAAATTTGGTTCTTTCATAAATTTATTATGGGTCTGCTGAAAATGTCACCAAATCTGCTGGGTCAAAAATATACATACAGCAACATTAGTATGTGACAACCCGCTGTTTGCTATCAGCTGGCTGCACTGTTTTCCTCTCTCCCTCTGCCCCTCCCGTCCTGATG